AATTCAAGTCCAAATCTCTTAGCCCTCTGATAAGGCAGAGCTTTGATTAATGTTGTCTGCACTTTGGCTGCAAGTCAAGCTTAATTCACATCACAGAAGCGCTTCGCTATCCTAAAGATTGTTATTGGAGTACCTCCTCTTGTTTTTCATAAACTTAATAAAAAAAAAACAAAATAACTATCCTAAATTCATCAAAGTAGGCTACACAAACTTCAAGCACAAATTAATCAAACTTTGGGAAGAGGAATAAATACATCAAGATTTTTAGTAGGGCCCAGTTTTCCTGAATATTTCATCTATGTCGCAGTTTTGGTGAGTTAACTGATCATTAACCAGAAATAAATAATAAACTAGTAAGAGAGAGTGCTCGACCAGCGGATACTCTGTAGCGAGCGGCTCTACGGCTCTTTAATGGCGCAGAATTTTTGGTTGTTTCATCGTCCGCCGTAGTTATGATAATCGCGGGAGATGAAACAGCCATTAACTCTGACCATTGCTCCAGTCAAGAGTGCTCGACTAGCAGATACTCTGTAGCGTGCAAGGAGCTGCTGTGCCACTGATTCTACGGGCTGATGCTTCAACTCTCAGGTAAAGTAAACTTAAATATTTTCCATTTTTTTATTTTTCAAATGCTTCCCTGCTCTTTGGGCACTTTTCGCAGTCAAAATGGAAGGAAATGCAAGTCACATTGATTGGATCTTAGCTGCTTTGGATTTTAGTTGGCTCAGCAAACATAAACAAGGTAACAAGATGGCTTACTTATAGCTGCTGCGTAGCTGGCATAGCCGAACCGAACTGTAAACAAAGCGCAAAACAACTCGAGAAGTGTCAACCGAAATGAGCTGTCAGAGTAACAGCAGCAGCTGCTGCTGCTCCTGCTGCAGTCGCTCCTCCTGCTGTCACTACTTCCACTCCTGCAGCTGGAGTAAGGCATATTTAGACTTGGCTTAGTGAGAGCTTAGTAGCCGAAATAAGACGACACACAGGATGCGAGACAATGTAACTACAAACTATGCAAATGCACAGTGCACAGTGGGGCAAAGCGAATGGAGAATGGCTATAAAGTAAATGGCGAGAAAATTTAATTTAAAATGTTGGATAAATATTATTATTTATAATTTTATAATTTTAAGTATTTTTGATGATTACAAAAGGTTAAATAAATAAAAATTAAACACAATTTTGTAAATAATCCTTGAAAATAAAATAAAATATAAAAGACTTTCTATTAAGTTTTTTATTTTCATGTCTATTTGATATTATGAAACCATTTTTCATCACATAAAGTAATTATTTGTATATTAGAAATTTCAAACTGAGTTATCATTGAAGAGATTTTTAATAGCTTCGAAAAACTTTATATATAGAGCTCTCTCTATATGTATATACATGACAAATATCTAAGGCTACCAAATCTTAGATCTCACGCATTTTTCAACTCCAGCGAGCTGGGGAATTCCTCTCAGAATTTCTAACAAATTTCATGGGCAGTAAAACGTGGGAAGAAACTGTCCAAATAATACAAATATTTTGGCAATTTTATATTCGTGGGTGTTCGGCATGTGGCAGCTAGTCTCAGCTAGTCTGGGGATTTCGGGCGAGTTGTGTGCAATGAATTGCATTTCCTTTTGTTGCCAGTTCCATAATGAAGACAACTACCGAAAAGAGGAAGAAGAAGCAGAAGAGAAAACCGAAAGGAAAACCCTAGTAGCTGCGACAAGGACACGGCCTAGACACTGTCAGAGCGCGTCTGCAGATGTTTACGATGGGTGGGAGGGGGGTTTGTGGGCGGGTGACTGGGATCTGGAATTGGGGATCCGCGCGTCCATGTTTGTTTGTTTGTCTGTTTGCCAACTGTCTGGGCCAGCAAACAGGCCAGGCAATAAAATAAGCAACAAAATGAAATGGCTGCAGACATTGGCAGCCGTTGGCAGCCGTTGGCGACGTCATCTTGGAGTCGCTGCCTCTGCCCACAGACGCGCTGCACCTGCGAGCGAAGATATATGGAGCTAGTTGTTCATGCCAGGGCATCGCTGGAGCTGGCGAATGGATGCTCTCAAGCGTGGGCGCATTCACCATCGTTTTTCGCTTTCCTTTCAGTCCATTTCTCAGCCTCCGTCTCTGCTTCTTCCTGTTGGCCTGTCGCAAATGGTAAAAATATTTACCAATAGACGAAGGCGTTACTCGAGATGCTGCTGACTCAACTATCCCACTCAATCTATATCTATAGTTTGCTATCTCTCTCTCTCTCTCTCTCGCGCTATCTCCTTCCCGCAGTGAAAGACTGGGCAGCAGCAGCAGCTAACGAGTGGCCTTTGAGCAGCACGTTCGTGTTTAGACTCTTAACACATTTTTCGATTCGCTTTCGTTTCGACTCAAGTGCAATCAGCAGAAGGAGACGGTCTAAGGACAAAGGACGCTGCTTGGCCAAGACAGCGGCACGTACCACGTTGTCTCGCCCAGACAGTTTGCAAACAGAAAGCCAAAACTACCAGCCCAGCCCAGTCCAGTTCCGCTTACATTTTGCCCAAAAAGCTATCACTGCTCGTTCCGCCTGCCTGCTCGCCCGTCCGTCCAACCGTCCAACCGTCCATCCGTCCGTTCGTCCTTCCTTTTGGGTCTTCAAGATAAAAACTAGTGGATCAGCAGCACTTAATTACATGAAACGAAAACTGTTAACATTTCGCTTCGGTTAGGCTGGGGCGGGGGCAGGCTGATGGGTGATGGGGTCAGCGGGGTGGGGCTAGTGTGTAGGGCCCTAAGTGGCCGGGCCATTGTTATGGCCTAGGCTCATAAAAGCATTGAGTGATGGCATGTGACATGATAATCATCGTCAACGCCAGCAAAACTTTGCCACGTTGCCTGGCGTATTCAAGGCGCTGCACTTCAACGGAACTAGAGAGTTAAACGTTGGCGCGTGCAGCTATAAAACGTGAACGCTTCCGGCCGGAGCACCCCAATTCTCAGTCTCAGTCTCAATCTCAGTCTCAGTCTCTGTTGTGTTGAGTGTTAATTGACCTAATTGCCGCCTGCCTGCTTGGCCTGCCTGGGCAATTGAAAAGCGAGGCTAAAGCCAAAGCTGGCCTAAATATTGACAATATTTTATGTGCTGGCCAGGCGCAAAGCAGATGAGCGCCGAGCTCCCTCTGGCCAGCAGCCCAAAGACCAAAAATGGGTGGTCGCTGCGCTAGCTGTATAATCTGATGCGATTTTGCGATTTGTAGTCGAGCGAAACTGCTTTTAAAAATGCAACAACAACAACAACAGCAACAACAACAACATCGACGACGACGACGACGATGACAACAAACAGGATGGGTCGAGAGCTGCCATAAAAGGAGCTAAAGTACAAATCGTTGTCACATGTGAGCCGCATTTTTATGGCCAACGGCTTGGGAATTTCTGTTGCTGCCGCATTGAGCAAAAGCCTGCGGCATAAGGAATTTATTGTGCGCGCTGTAAATGGAGTGGAGCAGGCCAACGTTTGGGCATTCAGCCGGTGGCGACTTTACCAACACCAACAGCAGCAGCAGCAGCAGCAACAGCAACAGCAGCAGCAGCAGTTGCATCTCCTCCGACTCCTGCTGCTCCCATTCAAATGTGCAACAGGTCAACCGGCAGCAGCTCTCAAGCGTACAGCAGGCGCTGCAATTTTTATTGCTTTCACGAGAATTGAGCCTGAGGCCTGAAGCCCTTAAAAGGCCTGCACTGGCTCCTGCCCGCCTCCTGCCGTTGCCTCAGTGGAATGCAATTGGGACTCAGGCAGCAGCAGGCAGCAGCGACAAAGATGATTCAATTGATTGATTGATTGATTGATCGCTGCCCATTGCCCGTTGCTTACTGCCCAAATCCCGCACAACACGACAACAACTGAGATCAGCAACGACAACAGCAACAACACACGCAGCTCAGATAAGCCCAGCGCCTTATCACACGCTCGCTGCGTCGCGACGCGCTGCGGCCCACAAGCTGCGCCCTATCAGCTCTGCGGCTCGCAAGTAAACAGAGTGCGATCTCTGTATGCTGAGCTGATGACGTGTTACATTCGAATTTCACATAAATACATTCAACTGACTCACGTGAACAAGTTCCGAGTGGAGAGCTGCAGGAGAAAATTTCATTTTAATAGCAAATCGAAAAAAGTTTTTTGGCATGAATTTTTTAAATTTTATAAATGATTCAAATTTAACTGGAAGCGGTTTGAAATTTCATTTATATTAATTTTTTTATTACAATAATTTTTTTTATGTGTACATATAACCCATGGAAAAAGAAAATTTAAAATAAATGAAGCATAAGAACATTTATGAATCATTTCATTATGCTTTATGCTTAAAAAAATAAATAAATAATCATAGAGAAATAAATAATAAATAAATAAAAATAATAATAAGAACTAATTCCCTCAGAACAAAAAGCTAATACAGATTTCAATAGATCCATTAAAGTGATGAAGAATGAACTAGTTTTCATAAGCAACGTTGTGACGTTTAAACTAGTTCATTTGTCAAATGTTTTAATCGCAATTAAACTAAAATAAAAATAAAATAAAATGAAATAAAGAAATGAAAAACTTAAAAAAAAAAAAAATGTTATTTAAAGAAACTAGCTCAGGAACTGACTCCAATGAACCACCGCAGTTGGTTCAATTGAACCCCTGCAATTCGACTGCATACCAAATGCATCTCATAAATGAACTAGTTCGCACTTACATAGTCATCATTTCCGCCCTACTTGAAACTGAATCAACTGAACCGTTGCTTAGCAAAGTACTTGGAACTAATTGCTATATAGAGGGCGCACGCTCTGTCCGCCCTCAGCCGATGTCGTCAATTCAGCATCATCTGTTCGCTGCTTGCGATGAGCTGGCAGGCAAAGTCCACAGGCCAGCGCGTAGATAAGACGCATAGGCCGTGCTTTCGAGTTTCACTTTCGAGTCGTAGTGTCGCATCGCTCGCCAGATACGATTGGGCGCTCGATCGGTTCGCATCGTGTGTGCCTCAGTTGGAATGTTGTCGCAGGGACTAAGACGCACTGCAGCGCTACTGACGTCACGGGCGCTCGGCCGCCGCCAGCTGAGCGCACGCATCGTGGACGAGAGCTACGTGGAGGTGCAGCCGGCGGCCAGGGGGAGTGGCAGTGCCGCCGCACTGACCTTTCCGGCCGTTTGGCTGCGCGACAATTGCCGCTGCCCGAGCTGCTTCCACAGCAGCTCGCAGTCACGGCAGCTGGACTGGAACCACTTCGATCCGAACGTGCGTCCGCTGGCGCTGCACATGGACAACGACAAGCAGCAGCTGCACGTGCGCTGGAGCGACGAGCACGAGAGCAGCTACGCGCTGGACTGGCTGCAGCATCGCAGCTTCGATGGGAGAAGCCAGAGCAAGTACCTCGACGAGTTCTACAGGCCGCGCACCAAGCACTGGGCGGGCGCTGAGTTCGAGCGGATCGCGCAGCGCTTCAACTACGATCAGGTGATGTCCGAGGATGAGCCACTGCAGCAGTGGCTGCAGGCGCTCGCCGTCTACGGCGTCGCGCTGCTGAACGGTGCGCCGCCGGACAAGGCGGTGGTGCGTCATCTGGCGGAACGCGTCGGCTTCATACGGCGCACCACCTACGGCGAGGAGTTCATTGTGCAGGCCAAGCCGGGCGCCAAGAACTATGCGTATCTCTCACTGCCGCTGCCCCTGCACACGGATCTGCCCTACTACGAGTACAAGCCCAGCGTCAACATACTCCACTGCCTGGTGCAGACGCAGTCGCCCGGCGGCAGCAATCTGCTCGTCGACGCCTTTCACATAGCCGATCGCCTGCGCCGCGAGCACCCCGACGACTTTGAGCGGCTCGCCAGAACGCTCGTCGACTGGAATGACATTGGCAGCGAGGATGGACACGAGTTTCACAACATTTGGCGGGCGCCCGTCATCTGGTAGGTCGCCGGCAAAGATGTGTGACTACAAATCAGGTCTAAACCATGTGCTTATGCTTCTTCTTCTTCTACTTCTTCTCTGACAGCCTGGACGCGGCGGGCGAGTATACGCGCATCAACCACAGCGTGCCGCAGCGCGACAGCCACTTCAATGTGCCGCTGGAGCAGGTGCTGCCCTGGTACAGATCCTACGCTCGCTTCGTGCAGCTGGCGCGCGACGACGCCTACTCGTTCAAGACGCAGCCCGGCGATGTGCTGACCTTCAACAACATCCGGCTGCTGCACGGACGCACCGGCTACGATGACACCGAGCAGAACTCGCGATATATTGTGGGCGCCTATCTCGATTGGGATATCGTGTACTCGCGGCTGCGTGTGCTTAAAAAGCGTTTAACCAGCAACTCCACCGCCACCACCTCCACCTCCTCCTCCTCCTCCTCCCCCTCCCCTTCCCCCTCCATCTAAATAAGCCAATAAAAGTCAGCGACATATTTTCCAAGCCATTTGCGTTGAGCTCATTTGAATAGTTGCAGAGTCGCAGCACATATGCCTGCCACGCCCACACTGCACGCTCTTCCCCGGCAGGCAAGCAACACCAAAAGCCAAATGTATAAAGTAAATCCAGCGTCGTCATTGGCAGTTAAAGCAGCTCAAGCGCGAAAATGAAAAGTTGTAAAAAATCATGATGATCCGGGGCGCGTTGTTGCGGATTATTAGCATCAGGATGCTGACAAATCGCTTGTGAAGATGATTGACAGTCGCAGGAAGCGGAATTCGTGGACCAGCCACGGCCCAAAAGAACACGCAGAGGGGCGCTGTGGGCGCTGTGGGCGACGCTGCTTGTAGGCGCAATATCGCCGAAAAATTGGCCGCAGCGACAGCAGCCACATCCGCCGCATTCAGTGAATATGCAAATTGTGCCTGGGCTTCTGGAATGTCAAATGTTGTCAAGTTTAGACGGCACTCGAGGATGTGCCCACCTGCCCGTCGTGCCGTGCCGTGCCGTGCCGTGCCGCGCACACAAGAGCTCTGCTCGAGCCACCGTAGACGCGACTCAAGTTTGGAGTGCATTAACCTTTAGCAGGCGCTCAATGGAAATGCCGTTAATCGCTTAACACTCGGCATTGCGAGCCATGCCACGCCACAGCAAGCCCTTCAGCTCCCATACATGAATGTCAGCGGGGAGCCCCACTCTCTCACCCACTCTCTCTCTCTCTCTCTCTCTCCCACTCCCTTTGGAAGAAACTTTCTATGCCAATTTCTTTTGAATATTTTATAGAGCTCCATTATGCCTACTTATGTCTTGTTATAGTAATAAAATAAAATTTTTTAAAGAAACCGTAGCTGGAGGCCGTCCTCGAAATCGTTAGGCAAAATACGAGTAGGAAACATCAACTGTAACTGTTCAAGGAGCAGCACCATCAACAACTCTGAAGGTTTCAAAACATTTTACTTTTTTTTTTTTGAACAACATGGCAGCAACAATAACAGCAACAGCAGCAGCAACAACAGCAAAACGAGTGAGAGCTGAATTGAAGCAGCACAGCCAAGGCCCAAGGGAATGGGCTTCGCTTCCAGGCTGCGGTTGACTGGGCCAGGTCGACTACGCAGCACGCTGCAATGCTTACGGCAAGTACAGATTGTCTTATGCGCTTAGATACATTTGTATCTCAAGAGCAGTAGGCATTTATGCTCCACGCGCATTTGTATCTCTTGAGCTGCAAATATGTATTTATCAGATACATTTGTATCTTTATGAATGAAACTAACATATTTATATTTGAGCTTGCTTTAAGTTGCACATTGTATCTTGCAGGCATATCAGATACATTCGTATCTCAAGAGCTTGAGATACTTTTGTATTTTAGAGTGCGTAATATTTACTTTGCGTATAATTTTGACATGTGGTCTGTATATACTCCCTTTACAGATACTTTTGTATCTTATGGGCTTCAAAGAGTCACTCTGAGATACATTTGCATCTTATGAAGTTCGATCATGTAGCTCACAGATACATTTGTATCCGATGAGGCTTTAAGATTCGTAGATATAAATGTATCTCAAAATCTTCAAGTGATCGCATCTGAGATATTTTTACATCTCATGATCTCAACTTATCACTCTGAGATACATTTGTATCTTATGCGCTTTAAGCATTTACAACACAGATACATTTGTATTTACATAGATACTTATGTGTTTCATGGCCTCAACTACCACTTTGAGATACATCTGTATCTTATGAACTTGCGGATACATTTCTATCTTATGAGCTCGCAGATACAATTGTATCTTTTGAGTACGAAAGCTGAATTTTACAGATACATAAGTATTTCATAAATTTTACCATTCACATCTGAAATACATTTTTATCTTATGGGCTTCAGAAAGACTCATCATAGATACATTTGTATCTTCTGAATTTCAAGTGTATCTCTATAGCTTCAGTCTGCAATACTTGAGCTGAAATTTTCACAGCTGATATCTACTACTCCCATTATAGATACATTTATACCTCATATATTTCACATACATAATTATCTGAGATACATTTGTATCTTTTGAGGTTCAACATCTAAAATTATCATAGATGATAAAGACGCCCATCATAGCAACTTTTGTATCTCATATACATATACATATGTATATTCACATCTCAGATACATTTGTATCTTCAATGCTTCAAGTGTATCTCTGTAGCTTCACTCTAGAGGTAAAATTCCCATAGATGATCTGAACTCCATTGAGATAGTTTGAGTCTACGGCTAAACTAACTAACGCCTAGACTAACTAATATACGCCAGCTTAAATGACCCACAGACTATTTTCACTTCATGGACTCAAATGTATCTGCAGACGGTTGCCGTGGCTAGCTTCTCGAAAAGTATGCCACAGAACTTATTGTGGCATTAGGCCGTCGTCGAGCGCAACTAATCGAGCAGAGCGAGGCGCGTTGCATACTTTTTGGGGCTGATCAAATGCTTGGCAATCTGTGAGCCAGAATATGTGCGAATCGCATGCTTAGCTAATCGACTTGATTGCGGCGTAGAGCATCGGAACTTTTCCTTTTGGCTTTCATGCGTTGTAAGGAGCACTTCCGCATTGCTTGCGCCGCCGGGGCCAATGGGAGCTGATCCCCTGGCCTGGCCTGCCAGACCACCATGTGTGCGAGTCTGTGTGAGTGTGTGCGAGTGTATGGGTATTTGTATTCGTATACGTATTCCCTTAACACGCATCATAACGCCCAGACGAAAAGCTTACACAGCTGCCATAGCCATGGAGCTGCGGCTGGGGCGCGAGAGCGAAGGCCAAATGAAAAGTCTATAAAAAAGTTTACTTTTTTAATACTTTTCCCATTTATATATACATATATATGGATATATATGTTTGTGTGTATATATAAAATAAAAATCTTGTAAAATGCGCCTTTTTGCACTCTCTTCTTCTCTCGATGTGTGTGTGCGTGTGTGTGTGTGTGTGTGTGTGTGTGCTGCACACTCCCCGTTTAGGGTTCAGTGCAAAATTCTGTTATATTCGACTGCCGCTGGCAACAACTATGGCCCGAGCCTTGGACTTGGGTCTGGGTGGCGATGCTTCCAGCATTCACATTGTAGCAGTTGCTGCAACAGCAACGGCAACGACAGCAGCAATGGTAACGGTAACTGTAACACCAACGGCAACGGCAACGGCAACTTGTGGCAGTCAGCACTTGAAATCCAAACGTCGTAATTGCCGCACTGTAACAGACGTTGGCTATGACGATCCGAGTTGATGATGACGAGGATGCTGCTATGCGAGGCTAAGCATCTCCTGGGGGCGCACAAGCGCAGCAATGCCAAATGGAAAAGGAAGAAGAAGAAGAAGCAGCAGCAGCAGCAGCAGCAAAAAATATCCTTTGAGTCGAGCAACCAAAGATGGGGTCGACCAAAGTGGTTTGGACAGGCGGATGCTGCGGCTGCGACGGCGGCTGCGACTGCGGTCGCCATCTAAGCATAACAAAAACAACATTATTGAAGCAAAAAGGTTTTAATGCGGCCTAAGCTGCTATGGCAACGGATACGCCAATCCGTCCGGAAATATTTCCACTGGCATTTCTAGCCATGGCAACCCACGGCGGGGCCATCGCAGCGGAGTGTGAGTTGAGTCGACCAAAGCTGGATTTTCATGTGTGCCGCAAATCCAGGCCGCATGCTCGCCGCCTGATTGGCCAGCTAATCCGCCGTATGCCGTGCATAGCGTCACTCGGACTCGCTTGGCCCATTTTGGTGGCGTATCCAAAATTCGCCACTCTTTGACGCAGCTTTACTGCAGCATTTAATACAGCTAAAAGCTTAGCGGAAAGCGGGACCGTGGCAGTGAGCGTGGGCGTGACGGGGATTTACCTTTTTCCGTTTTTCCATTTTTCCGTTTTTCAATTTTTCAATTTTTCACTTTAATCAAATTAAAATTCATTCGTCGCGCTTATGAAGCGTGCAAATGGAGCTGCCAGCAGCAAAATAGCTTTGTCCTTGTTTATGCAGCATTGCCACGGCAACGGAAAGTCCGCAGAAAACCGGGGAGTCGGGGAAGTCCGTGGAGTCAGCCTATTGAGCAGCCAACCACCCAAGCCAAGTGCTTGCCGCTTTTTGTTAAGTTTTTGCCGAGGGCCAAAACTTTGCATTGCGGTCTGGCGGCTGTGTCGGCGTCGCCGTCGCCGTCTACGTCTGCTGGAACTTTGCTGGCGCTGCAAGGCATTTTGGGCAACTACAATGAATCTACATTTGGGCGCGTGTCAGCGAGCGGGGGTTGCCGGCTCGTTCCGAGTGCAGCGGCAGCAACCCTTGAGGCGCTGAAATTTGATAAATATGCGTATTAGTTTCAGTTGCCGGGATGGGCACGGAACCTTTGGCCAGAACGAAAGCCAGCGGCAATATCAAACGTTAAGCGACGTCCCGGTGGGCTCAGTGCCGGGTGGTGCGGTGTTCGCGCATGTTACTTAAATTGCGCTCTAAATTAATTTGGCTTTTATATCGTATTTGCTGTGTGCGCAACGATTCACAATTCACTGCACGCTGCTCGAAAGTATGCAACGTTTTTCTTGGGGGGGGGGCGAATCAGCTGGGGATGGCTAGAAGTGAATCAGAACTAAAGGCAGCGGAGAAAGCATATGCTCAATGCCAATTACTGATTTACCGTTCGGCTATCTTTACAGATTTCTGTTGATGTCTGGGAGTAGTTCTGGGTAGATTCACGGCAGATCTGCTGGCTGAGCAGTCGATGGATGCAATGAATTTATGGTGGATTGAGATCTTAAATGTTTTTTATTTTTATATTTTTTATTTTATTTTGTTTGGCATAGCAAATTTTTTAAATATACAATGATTTCTTGTTATAACAGCTCCAAGCACTAAAGAAAAAATTAGAAAAATTATGAATAATTAGAATGTTGAAGCTGCATTCATTTTGTTGCTGTTATGAACACGAATGAAGATAAATATATGAAGAATATGTGGAAATATA